ATGTGACCGCCGGTCCAAACCCAAATTTCTGCTAAGTCCACATTGATCCTAGTGTACTGTGTTATAGTTAATGTTTATATATAAGCTTATATGATACTGTGCACTGATACTTCACTGTACAGGCTGACTATTACCCCAAAACCACTGAAGATCATAACATAGTGTGAGTTGGAAAGTCTGCTATAGTTGCTATATAAGTATGTACCAAAACTATGGGTGCTATATAGACATATATCCAAAGCTATGGGTGCTATATGGACGTCACTATGAGCTATGCATTGCTATATAGCTGGTGTATTAAGCTATAAATTGCTATATAGCACCCCATAGCGACTGTCATAGTCTACATAGCGCTCTATAGCAGCTAGCTGATCACTCCATAGTGCACATAGAGCTACTATAGCAACAATAGTTCAAAGGGGCAGCTATATAAATTTGGGTTTTTTCAGATGAGGTGGCAGGGTGTTTGTGCACCATTTCGACATTGCTTTAAAGCTTTGGGCTATTTGAGTGGTATTCGAACGGCGTGACTACACCATCGCGCTTTCAGATTTAAATATCAAACACTATCAAATAAGGATGAAGGAGGATGGTGTTAATTGAGTGCATGGTCAGTCCTCCTTGGCATCCCAGTCAACGGACAATTGAGGTTGTCGAGAAGCTGCATGGGCCCATGAAGAGACACCATCGTCCGGCCATGCTCTGTCAGCACGGGCAAATCAGTTGTGACCCCTCTTTGCCAGCTGATTGTGGATGCTTGCCTGCTGATAGGTGCATGCTTGATAGCCGGCCTTGCATTGTTCGAGGGCGATGAACGTCCAGATGCTCAACATCTTCTCAGAGGCACGGATCATTCGACGGAATTCCTGCTTGAGGATTTCAACTTCTTCGAGCCATTGGAACATATCGGCATGGGTTTGATGCCACGTAATCTGGTCCACTGATAAGCAAAGGAGTTAGATAGTGTTTGGTATCCATCGTAACCATGTACCTTCTAACAGCGTAGGAGGCTGTCTGACGCGCTGTAGCAAGCTGGGAGCAAGGGAATGGAGCTGTGAGTCGAAGTCTGAGGACTCTGGGCTCCATCCCTGCTCCCTAAATACATCCAGCTATGATGGAAGCTATGGTAACAAGTAACAAAGGGAGATATCGAAGCTATGGAGATAGGGATCAAACATGTGGAGATGGACAGTTGGAATCAGTGATCTGAGCAACCGACTGTTGGACCGGTTGCATCAGTTGTGTGGTCAACCAACTGATACCAACTGATGTGAACAGATGGGAGACATGTAGCCAGGAGACCAGCATCAAAGGATGATCAGAGCAGCCAGAAAAGCGGTGACCCAGGGGAATGATGGATGGTAACCACCTAGACTGATCCATCACCATCCTCAACACTCCCACCTGATGGAGAAGTCAATCCCATCATCCTGGCGCACTCTGCGACCTTAGCAGCACCTAAAGCCTTGGTCAAAGCGTCTGCAGGCATCTGGGACGTCGGAATGTAGTCCACAGTGATGAGACCGGCCTCCACGGTGTCCCTGAGCCAATAGAACGCCAAATCAAGGTGCTTCATGCGCCCATGGTGCTCTGGGTTCTTGGCCACAGAGATGGCAGACTGGTTGTCTATCCGGAGCCTCGAGGGAGCGGCTGTAGCTTGGAATCCAAGCTCAGAGAGCAAGTTGCGAAGCCAAAGGACCTCTCTGCCGGCATAGCAGGCTGCCACGTACTCGGCTTCCGTCGTAGACAGTGCAACAGTCGTCTGGAGCTTGCTGAACCAGCTGACAGCTCCAGAGCCGATCTTGAGCACAAACCCGGAGGTGGAGCGCCCGTTGTCAGGGTTTCCACCGTGATCAGCGTCCACAAAGGAGGTGAACGGCTCTCCTGACTTGTCCGGCCCAAAGGTCAGCTTGTAGTCAAGCGTGCCCTTCAAGTAGCGAAACAGATGCTTCACGGCGGTCCAATGACGCGGACCTGGGTTCTTGGAGAACCGGGACAGAGCTCCCACGGCATGGGCAATGTCTGGACGAGTGGCAATGGCCAGGTAGAGCAGGGCGCCCACGGCGTTGATGTAGGGAACTCCCACCATCTCTGCCTTCTCCTCCGGAGTCTGGGGTGACATGGACGCTGACAAGCGAGTGTTTGGGTCCACAGGAGTGAGCACCGGCGAGTAGTTGGTCATTCGAAAGGTGTCAAGCATGTCCTGAGTGTAACGGCGCTGATCCATGGATAACTGACGCTTGGCACGGTCCCGAGTGATACCGACGGCCAGCAGCAAGGAGATGGGCAGTTTGAAGCGGCGAGCAAGTTCAGCCTTCACGGCGTCCTTGTCTGCCTTGGTCCTGCCAACGATCGTCAGATCGTCGACATAGACCGGCACGATGACGTGGGTGGTGCCTTTTCTCCAAACAAACACGCAGTGATCACACCGGGTGCGAGCGAATCCCATCTCCTGCAGAGCACCGTCCAGCTTCTGGTACCAGACCCGTGAGGCCTGCTTCAAACCGTACAAAGAACGGTTGAGTTTGCAGACCATGTCCTTGTCACCCTGCTCGAAGCCCTCAGGCTGAAGTATGTAGACGTCCTGCGTTAAATCCCCGTTGAGGAACGCATTGGAGATGTCTACAGCGTCTGCTTCGTAGTCCTCCAGGGCACACATGGCAAGGACGGCTCGCAGAGTCGCCCACTTGGCTGTAGGGGCAAAGGTCTCGTTGTAATCGAGCCCAGGGCGCTGGCTGAAGCCCTTGGCGACCAATCGAGCCTTATAGCGCTCTAGGGAACCGTCTGCGTTGCGCTTGACCTTGAAAACCCAGCGACAGCCGATGGCTCTCCGGTCTGGAGGCAGCTGAACGAGGGTCCAAGTCCCGTTGCGCATGTGTGCTTCGATCTCTTCAACGGCCGCCTGATGCCACTTGTCAAAGTCAGGACGACGCATCGCATCCTTGTATGAGCGAGGCTCTGGGCTATGAGCAGCCGCCTTGAGAGCACACGTCTCGAATGCGTGCTGGAAAGCGTCGTCTAACTCCAAGAAGTCACCAGCCAAGAAGTCAATGCCTGCCTCGACTGCGGCGGCGATATGAGCCTCCTGCAAGTCAGGGTCGTCTGCACCCGGCCTGAGCAAGTCCAGCTCGTCCTCGGAGCTCTCAGAGCTCTCGGACTCGATGACAGGAACTGGCTCGCGAGGGCGAAGCTTAGGAACCTCCCACCAAGGCTTGGGTGGAGTCCTGTGCCGGGTGCTGCGACGAAGCTCTGGAGGTGGTGAAGAGCTGGCACGACGCTTGGACGCTTGACGCGTTCTGGGCCGTCTACTAGGACCTGGAGCGTCCTGTGGAGCAGGCTGGAGGTGTTCAGGAGGTGGGGTAGGCGCAGGGAGCTCAGGACCTTCTGCAGGCGCATCAGGAGCTGCTGGAAGGGGTGCAGGATCACCCACTCCCACCGGACCAGGCAAGGCTTGGACAGCAGGATTCTGCTCGTCTTGGAGGCGTTCCGGGGGCGGTGGAACCACTCCCACCTGATCCGGCAACTCTGAAGGCAACGACTCGAGCAAGAAGTCCTTAGAAACGTCCCATGCGGCCGACTTCAAACCCGGAAAACTGCGTTCATCGAAGATGGCCGCATTGGAGATTAGAACTTTCTTTGTCTCCGGGTTGTAGAAGAGCCATCCCTTGTACTCCGAGGGATAACCGATGAACACACACTTCTGGGTGTGGGATTGAAGGCCGCGGCGTTGGTCCTTCTGCACGTGCACGTAGGCAGCGCATCCAAAAGCCCTCAGGTGGTCCACATCCGGTTTCTCCCCAAAGAAGGCGATGTAGGGTGTCAGAGACGCAGGCAGAGCAGAGGTAGGCGCTCTGTTGCGCGCATAGACGTAGGTTTGAACGGCATAACCCCAAAACGACGGGGGCAAGTTTGACTCAACGAGCAATGAGGTTGCACCGTTGGCCAGGGACTGGTTAGCTCGTTCCGCAACACCGTTCTGATGAGGTTCGTTGCGAACGGTGCGCTGCCTCTCCCGCCTTTGTCATCCCTGAGTGCCTTAACACGCGTCCCGAGCTTGTTCTCCGCCCATTGGACGAAGCGTTGCAAAGCTGGCCTCGGCCTTGCTACGAAGCAGGAAGAGGCCGTAGATGCGCGTGCAGTCGTCTACAATCAGGTGCCAGTACCGGTAGCCTTCTGGAGTCCTGACCGGCACAGGACCATGCAAATCCATGTGCAGCAGTTCCAGAGGCTTGGAGGCGCGGTGCTGAGCGATCCTGGGCATGTCGTGACGCCGCTGCTTGCCTGCAATGCAAGGCTCGCAAATGGGATCAGGGGGAGCGGAGGAGGCAATGACAACGCCCTTGGCGAGTCCCTGGTCGATCAGCTGCTTTATCGCCTTGTGGTGGATATGGGCAAAGCGCTTGTGCCATAGGGACAGGTCCAGAGGGACGGTACTCGCCGGCTGAGCCAACTGCAAAGGTGGGACCGTCCTGCCGTCGACGTAAGCGGCATTGTTGGAGTTGCACGTCGCGGTGAACAGCAGAGCTCCTGATCGGCGGAAGGAAATCACGTCGCGCTCGATCGAGACAGAGAAACCACGTTCACGAGTTAAATACAGCACAGAGAGGAGACTAGACCCGAGGTCAGGAACATGCAGGACACGCTCAAACTCGAGCAACCGCCCAGGCTTCCCTCCTATCTGCGGCATGAAGCGCACAGAGCCCACACCGGCCGAGTAGATCACTTTGGAGTCTGCAAGGCCAATGGGTATCTTGTGGGGCTTGTAGGAAGAGAACCAGTCGCGGTGAGGCGTCATATGACAAGTGGCGCCTGTGTCTGCGTTCCAATCAGCGCTGGGATCGCGTGAAGGGCCGTTCAAGGCAGGAGAACTCACGTCAAGGGCGTGCTCGACGGCATAAGCCATAGAGACGGCCTGAGTGGAGTTGGGGACCGCAGCAGCCTCCTGGGCGTGCTGTGAGCCTCCTTTCTTGTTGTTGCGGCGGTTCTGGCGCCTTTCGGCAGCCTTCTGACGAGCAGCAGAGCGCGCATCGCGCTTGGCAAAGCAGTGCTCCTCGTCGTGACCCTTCATCTCGCAGAAATCGCACAGGAGGTCCGCCTTGCTAGCTGTAGGCGTTGCAACGCGCATGGCAAGGGTTTCTGCAGAGGCAGAACCGTCCTGGCGGCCGTTCCGCGTCTGATGCTCCCGCACGAAGGCTTGAACAATCTCAGACTTGGTGGCATCCCGCTGAATGAGACCTGAAGTGAAGGAGTCATACTCCTGGGGCAGGGATCGAAGCATGGACATGGCAGCTAGATCTGCGAGCAGCTGCTCGAGCGTGTAGCTGTCCGGGCACAAGTCCTTGAAGGTCTGAACGAGGGTGCCCACCCTGGAGGCCAGGGAAGGCAAGGACTCGTCAGGCTGCTTTCTGACGGCGAAAACAGCGTCCAGAGCGTTGTAACGCGCCCCAGACACCTTCTGGAGGTGGACTGATTGGAGCTTGGCCCAGATCAGAGGTGCATCCAGCTCGATCCCGGTGAAATGAACATGCTGCGACGCATCGACAGCAAGGAACATGGCCCCAGCGGCCTGAGCCGACTTCTCGAGGTAGGTGATGTGCTCCGGGTCCCCTGCACTCGGCTCCTTGATGGTTCCGATGACTATGAACCAGAGCTTGTTCTCAGCCAAGTAGGCCCGCATCTCCTTCGCCCATTGGGCGTAGTTGACGTCGTTCAGGGGCGTAACTCGACGAGAGGAGGTGAGCTCTTTAGACGAGGACATGGTGTCCTGATGCTGGAGTGAGGTGGAGTAGGTGAGATATGGTGGTGATGATGATGCAAGGAGGGCGAAGTGAGCCGAGTTGTGGAGGTGTAGGAGGGTGTGCGGTGCGTGTAGGACGTCCCAGGCGCGAAGAAGAGTCTGTCTAAGCTATCTAACTACATAGAAAAGCGAAGAGAGCCCGTAGTTCACACAAATCACGCAAAACTAGTTACTTATAGATGGGGAGAGCCACACACAGACACGAACTTGACCCCTGCCACACACATAAAGGAATGGATACCCGGTGTGGCTTATTCCAGGGCTGAAAGGCGGCGAAGCCAATCAAGGTAGACGGGGATAAACCCACTCCAAGTTCTGCCCACCCAAGTGTTTATGTGTAGCTGTGGAAGCCCTATGTGTCTACAAGCGCTCGCAGGAGGTCAAGGGACCGTGAAAGTCTGTGGCAGCACGGGAAACGCGCAGGAGGGGACGGATGAGGCGCAGGGAGCGCAGGGAGACGCTGGGGAGCGTAGAGCACCGCACAGATGTGCAGGGAGTGCCTGGGGAAGGCAGGGGGGTTGCAACAGCGGCAGAGGCGTGTGTGCAGCAGCAGTAGCGTCGAAACAAGCGGTCAGAGCACAGGGCTCATAACCTAACAGCGTAGGAGGCTGTCTGATGCGCCGTAGCGCGCTAGGAGCGAGGGAATGGAGCTGTGAGTCGAAGTCTATTGAGATACAACTAGGGACAGACCTGGGAGCAGGGGAATGGAGCTGTGAGTCGAAGTCTGAGGACTGGGCTCCATCCCTGCTCCCTAAATACATCTAGCTATGATGGAAGCTATGGTAACAGGTAACAAAGGGAGATATCGAAGCTATGGAATGGATGGTAACCACCTAGACTGATCCATCACCATCCTCAACAGTCTGGACAGGGATAGGGCCGTGGACATCCATGTAAACGAGACCCAGGGCCTCTGACATGCGCCGGGAGGCCCTCAGAGGCACAGAAGGCTGGTACAGCTTGCCCAAGATGCAAGGCTCGCAGACGGCATCTAGAGCGGCGTCGGAGTCGAGCTTGAGGCCAGAGACGCTGTCCTCCTTCAGCATCCGGCGCACGTAGTCGACGTTGACGTGCCCGAAACGCCGATGCCAGAGCTCGAGGTGATCCACAGCTACCCATCGGCACGCGACCAGCCACGCCGCCCTGAGGACCCGTCTCTGCGCGCACAGGCTCACCATTCCGCAACTGGCCAGCGAGCGTAGCCCCGAGCGCGCGGCTCCAGTCCTCGTCGTGGAGGCGGGCCTGCAGGTTTGCAGGCAGGGCCACAATATGTTGAACTTGCTTATCCATTACAATTTGAACTTGGTGCGTTCGGAGACTCGCAAATCGTAGAGAGCGGACAGGCAAATAGATATAGTCATTCGTTACTACAGCGTACATAATCCGTCCATCTTGAAAGCATATGTAACCTTATCACAAGTCAGTTGAAGAGAGTGGATAGCAAGGGACGAGTGATATAAGACCTGATGTTGGCTTGAAATGCGGGGGGCAGGTCTCTGATGTTACTTGTGAGCCCAGGGTCAATCAAAGGGACTGCAAAGGCATACCCCAACGTCTTGTCCTGGATCTTTCGAATTTTTCAGTGGTCTGTT